GATGGAGGAAGTGGTGGTGATGAATTGGAGATGACGGTGAAGGTGGTGATGGAGGTGGAGGTGGAGGTGATGATGGAACTGGAGATGGAACAGGAGATGGAGGTGGAGGAGGTGGTGATGAAGTGGAGGTGGTGATGGAGGTGGAGGTGGAGGTGATGATGGAACTGGAGATGGAACAGGAGATGGAGGTGGAGGAGGTGGTGATGAAGTGGAGGTGGTGATGGAGGTGGAGGGTGGTGGTGGTGATAGAGATAGTGAGGATGCGGTGATGGATAAGAGAGGTAGTGGAGCAGGAGCAAGAGAGGGAGGAGGAGAAGGATGGACGAGACCCAGACTGAGATAAGAAAGAAGAGAAAAAACAAAGTAGAAACCGAAGCACAAATCAGAGGGAAAAGAGAAAACTAATCAAAGAAACCGTGCAAAAAAGCCATGGCCGCTGCACGTGCGAGAAAGCGAGAAGTTGACGCCCCCCCCCCCTCCCCCGAAACGTTGACGGCCAAGCAAACGTTCTTGTCAACGTGCGCGGGGACAAGAAAAACAATGACAAGGAACAAGGAAAATAATAAACAAAACAAAATAATGGATTAAAAAAAGCAGTATCAGCCATAAGCGATGGTTCAATCAGGGAGTAATGGGGGGGGGGGGGAGGAGGAAGAGGAGGAGGAGGAGGAGGAGGAGGAGGAGGAGGAGGAGGAGAAGGAGGAGGGGAAGGAGGAGGAGGGAAGGAGGAGGAGGAGAAGGAGAAGGAGAAGGAAAGGGGAAGAAGAAGGAGGAGGAGAAGGAGGAGAAGGAGGAGAAGGAGGAGAAGGAGGAGGAGGAGGAGAAGAAGAAGGAGAAGGAGAAGGAGAAGGAGAAGGAGAAGAAGAGGAAGAAGGAGGTAACTTCCACTCGTGAAATATCACAAACAGAAGGGATGGACAGAAACTACAATGGAAGAAAGGGAGGAGAACGAGGAAAAAAGAAACAAGGAGAAAAAAATAAAGGCAAAGAGAAGAAAACTACGGATAATGAAAGGTTCATGATAGGACAGAGAAAGGGTCATTGGGAAGGGAGGGACCGGGAGGGCCTAGGAGGGAGGGAGGCAGCGAAGGGGCAAAGAGGCGGAGGGAAGGAGGGCGGGCGAGGGAGGGGGGAGGGAGGGCGCGAGGCCAGCCAGCGCGGCGACTTACCTTCTCGTGCTTGAGCTGCGGCGTGGACCGCGACGACGACGACTGCGACGGCGGCCGCTCGGGCTTCTTCTCGCCGTTCTCCCGCACGTCGCGGTGGTCGCCGTTCGCCTGTGGAGGAGTTGTTGGGTCCTAAGAGAGGAAGAGGGGGGGAAGGGGGAGACGGGTCAATACTACTACCAGGCTCGTACCCGACCGCACTCGCCGAGGCGTCGCGAGGCGCTGCGTGCACGAGTCACCTGCCCTTACAAGCATGCACTCGCCACCGTCTGTCTACACGTCACCTCTACCCAGTGCTTGCAGATGGGGGGCGGGGTATGTGTGGGGGGAGGAGGGAGGGAGGGGCCCGGGCCTGAGCGCGGGAACCCCCACCCCCCCTACCTCGCTAATCTCCATGATACAACGGGATGTTAATTTCAATATGTCACTACAACAGTACAAAGAAAAGCTTTCCTCTCTCTCTCTCTCTCTCTCTCTCTCTCTCTCTCTCTCTCTCTCTCTCTCTCTCTCTCTCTCTCTCTCTCTCTCTCTCTCTCTCTCTCTCTCTTCCATTCGCTAATGAACACACAAACATACCAATACGTATACAGTGTTACGACCCTCTACAAACCCATTAACAACTATATCACCGATCCATCACCGAAAAAAACTGATCAAAACACAGGTCGAAGTGGGTAATAAAGAGGGGACGGGGAAGGCAGGGAAGGGGAGGTGGGGGGGGAGGTGGGGGGGGAGGTGGGGGGGTGTCGTAACTACTCATTGTAAATATCCAAAAAGGGTTTACCTCTGCTACTCCCGTGCCAATCACTTCTCCCTCATACGAGCATTCACTTTCTCTCTCTCTCTCTCCTCTTGTATCACTTTGTCATTCCTTTTCCTAGCTCTCTCTCCACTTTCCCTTTCCCCTCTCACATATATACCCTTTTCTCACAACTCATCCTTTCTCTCTCTCTCTCTTTTTGCAAAATCCCCTCTCATTCTCTCGCTCGCTCTCACTCACTCTCTCCCTTTTCCTCTATCTGTCTGTCACACACTCCCTTCCTCACTCTCTCACTCCTCACTCACTCCATCCCTCATTCCCCCTCTCCCACTCTTCTTCACCATCTCTCTCACTCCTTACTTCCTCTCACTCCCTCTCCCTTTCTCTTACCCTTCCTCGCCATCTCACTCCCTCTCACTCCTCTCCCATCCTTCCTCACTCCCTCTCACTCAGTCTCCCTTCTCTCTCACCCTTCTTCGCCATCTCCCTCCCTCTCACTTCCTCTCACTCCCTCTCACTCCCTCTCACTCCCTCTCTCTCTCACTCCCTCTCTCTCTCACTCCCTTCCTCTCAC